TCTGGATGAAGAGAAACACCTTCCCTTTTCGGGTGTTGAAAACTAATGTTCTGTATTCTGGGATGAAGCACATATTTGCAGTTTTTCTCACTATAAGCACTGAGTTTTTGTAAGCGCGTGTATTTGAACACACAGTAATCAAAGCTAGCTTTTAGCTATGTTTGCAGTAAATACCTCACATTAACATTTTAATTCTAAACTGTCCAGATTCTCCAGAAGATTGGAAAGGACACAGTGATCACCCACGAGAAGGCGGCCGCTACTCCCGGTAATATTGTCGGACCACGGGACTTCGTGAGTGTCCGGTGCTCTAAGAGACGTGGTTCCACCTGCGTCCTGGCCGGCATGTCCACAAAATACGGAGCTATGCCAGAACAGGAAGGATTTATAAGGTAATCACCTTTTGCGTTCACTTACAGGGTGTTCAATGAGTCAGATTCACACACTAGCTTTTAGTATGGGCTCAGAGTCATGAGGTTTGCCTCAGTAGCAGGAACTGCAATTCACACAGTGCTTCAGCACGGCTGTAATTTTGAGGCCAAGTCAGACGTTGCTTTCCAACACGTGCGCTCCCGTCCTCTTACAGAGCCGAGAACGGTCCCACGTGTATGATCCTGCGCCCGCTGCCCGGCAGTCCTTCGCAAACCAAGCTAACGTGGCTTCTCAGCCTTGACCTGAAGGTAAGTTTTGCAGCAAGCATTTCAACGGAGAAGCAGGATTTGCATTCGAGGCACGTTCCACTCACGGGCTGTATCTGCTCCTCTCCAGGGCTGGCTGCCGAAGACCATCATCAACCAGGTTCTGTCCCAGACGCAGGTCGACTTTGCCAACCACCTTCGGGAGCGCCTGGCCCGGACGGTGGCAGTGAGCTGCTGACCGCACAGCCTGGTGTTGTAATGCTTTGTGCAGGGGGAGAGTAGGGAACCTTGTGATGGGGCAAGTCAGGTACAATTTAATTGCAGCCTGTGCTAATTAGCCAAGACCTTTAATAGTAGACACCACTAATTAATACAGTTTTATTAATAACTAACTAACTAATAAATAAAGCTTTATTTATTGAAACTAATTAGT